AGAGTAGCGAGATATGGCGCATCTCCTCTCAGATCCCCTCTCATCCCCAGCGGGGATGTACGTGCATACGGGCCTTAGTCGAAGTGGCCTCTCCATATGAAACTTATATCGCTTTGTAGAGCATTGAACGATGATTCCAATTATGTCTTCCTTTTCTGCGAAACGACTTTCTTAAAGAATTTGTGGATGCTTAAATGTCCAGATTTGCCATGCTGTAGGTGGCACAAAATTAACGAAAAGCTGCACAAAAACGGCTGAAAGTAGGTATATTAAATTTGTATCGAGCGTATTGAATACAAGAGAAAGGAACATGGCCTACGGAAATCCGCATAGGTGTTTTTGTTCAGTTTTCGCTGATTTTATGTCAATTAATTGTTGACATTTAGATCATGAAAAACTCATAACTTCTTTCGGAAAGCTGTTTCGCAAAAAAGGTAGACAGATCCGAAATCACCATTTAATGCTCCACAAAATGATATAGGTTTGATGTGGAAAGGCCACTTTGACCCAGAAAGGTTCCCTTGTGACATTCGTATGCCTCTATCCAAAATTTTTTGTTTCAGCTGCGTCCTCACCTTTTCGGACCCCTCCAAACTGTCCTCTGTGGTCTGATCCTCTTAGTTTCGACTCCAGTCGGCTGTGCCTTCTTCCCCCAAATGACTCCAGTCCAAGTCTCAAAACTTGAACCAGAGCTTCAAGCGAAAATCAACGCTTTGCCAAATCCACCAACAACGGTTTACTGCAACAAGGGACTGTGATGGTTTACAGCGATGCATTTAGGCCTGTTTTGTAATCTTCATGCTCAACTTTCTTTGTTTTTACTTGATTATAACCAATTTTATTGCTCAATCCTGTTGATTTGCACCTCTTTCTAATGAGCATATTTTACGTCTTATTTAGATCTTTGTAACTCTTTATAACTTGTTCTTTTCCTGAGCCATTGACCAGGCCATAGCAGTTTTACTCCAATTCCTTTGCAATTTTGATAGTCTGAGTTTCGTAATGGTCAGGCATAATAGTACGTATTCCTTTGCGAAACTTCTTCTATCAAATGCATTGCTCTCTATCTCGTTTGACTGAACTTACCTCATTGTAACTTTCTCAGTAGAGTTAGATAGGTTTTCGTTGAATTTGTGGCAATTACATATTCTATTTTGACTCTTGCAATATCTTTCTAAGCATACTTACTATGTCTTTGATTCGCTCACAAACCTCATCATTGCTCACTTAAATAATACGGTAGTATGAGATGAACGACGAATAAATACATAACAAGATGATTTGTAATCTTCAATTCTCCTTGTGTTCAAATAAGACTCAGAAGATATGATTGGTACACATTGATTAGGTAACGGAAATGATTTGGGAAGATCTGTAACATATTTTTTCACCCACTTTCACAGAAAAACCTTCAAATCAGCGGATTCACTAATGAATCGTAGCAGAAAATCCCTAATTATGAAACACAGTATTTTATTTGACTTCTGTGCATGGATGACAGTTCGCATACTCAAAAAAGCTTCAAACTAAAAGGGGAGCAACAAGAATACGCTACATTCAGTTAAAAATGAACCAGAAAATAGGTTCTTTCCCAACAACAAACTTCTGCCACTTATACATATGCTAATTGATCTACAGTATAGAGTTTATTTTCACCGTAATCATCAATAACTAGATATCAATAGCACTCCTTAATGAATTTGTTTATAGTAGATATAAATACGATGAAACAGGGCATTGTTAGTAGTGTTCAAGGCAAAAGTAATTGTCGCATATTGCCTAGAGCAAGCGGATGAAAACTACGATTCAATTAGTTTTTTTCCAAAATTTTCTCGCAAAATGCAGTAGAATTTCCCCGAGCAAGCGCTGAGAGCAGAGAGCACACTATGTCTTTGAAACTTCTAACCGTACTTCTGGATGAGGTTTCATCACCCAGCTTTCTTCGATGAATATATACTCGTGCCGATTGATTTTCTTGAAAAGTACCAAGTTTCGGACTTTTCTGAAAGTTTCGATTTCAATTAAGAAACTTCTGTCATGTCTGGAAAAATGTTATGCAGGTTGAGATAGTTTTCTAAGTATTTTCGAGTCTTAAAATTTACCGGCAATCCAACCTAATAATTGGTTTTTAGATTCCTCGTATTGATTTGGTACTGACCATGCATATACCTTTATGATAACGTTTTACTTTACTCATAGTGTACTTTACTAACATTACCATACTTATCTTGGCATATTGTAGCGAATAATGTAACCTCACGCTTTTGATGCGACTAAAACAGTAATGAATCAATTTTTTTATAGAACGAATACAAGGATCGCTGCGACATCGTGCAAAGGCTTTCGTGATATGAATGACTTTATTCGAGATTGTTGCCATAGTGAATTACCTTAGCAACTAAAATCGGATTGCTCGTAATCACCAACGAATTCGTTTATTTCGCAGGTTGCACCGCCACCTATCACAATTTTCAGCTTTCATATGCTTTACCTACAGCTTTTTTCTATCAGAATTCTCAATGCATGAAGTTCACATATTTTGCAAAATAGTCTTGAGTTTTCGAAAAAATTTTAAAATCAACTATCATTTGAAAAATCAACATGCTA